AAATTATGGGAAGCCTTAGCAGACGTTCTGCAGCTGATTACACTTCAGGCATGCCCAAACTCCTTTCATCAAGGAGACGGGATAACACAGCTCAAGCAAACAGCACTCTTCTTGCATCAACGCAGGAAATTACAAGATTCAACAGATTACATCCTGTACAATCAGGATTTGGCTGGCTTCTTTACATCGGTCGATCAGAGCCGGTTTCTTTCAGCATACAGCATCATGGTTCGATGGTACAGAGAGAAGAACCCACTGCACTCTTCCAAATTCTTCATTGACCACTCACAAAAGGACCCCACACACCGAGTCCACAGGGGCAAAAGCAGACAAAAGCAGCAAGAAGCCTCTTCCGGCAACAAACTTTGCATACAATTACAACATATACCACAACTCATCATTGCAGTGCTCCGACTCAACTATTTCACTGTTGGTACATCACTTATTGAGCAATTTCGCGGTGCACCTATGGGCTCGCCCTGCAGCCCGGCCCTATGCAACATCGTGGTTGCCGTCGAAGAACAGTGTTGGCACCACACATACAAACAACTTTTCAAGAACCACAAGCATTTTCCAGACCACAACAAGCAGGATCAAGCTTTCTTTTTTGCTACCAGATACGTCGACAACCGCGTCCTTCTTTTACCTGCACAGCTGACCCGACTGCCTCCTTTTGCACAGCTTACCGACGCATCTTTCTACAAGCCACCGGTTCAGCTTGAAACTGAACCGGCCAACATTTTCCTGGGTTTCGCCATAAACCCTCAGCACAGCAGCCTTACGCATCAATGCACTTTGCACAAGGCGGATATTTTACACCCACAGTCAGCCACCTCTGTTGCAATACTTCGCAGCAGTTTTCAGGCCCGCACACGCATGGTACGCAGAGTGACAACACCATGCAGCGAGGCCACATCAGCCATTCGAGCCATGCGCGATCTCTACATCGCTGCCGGCTATACTGATCAACAGCTGTAAGCAAAACACTGTGCCAAGTTGCCGTGCGTGTGTCCAGAGTCATGCAACTTCGCAACATGAGAGCCGCGTTGTATCAACACAGTGCTTCCCGCAGCCATTTACAGTGTTAACTGAGGCATCATCATGTATAAAAGTGCCATGACTGGCAGATTGCAGCCGAGCCACAAAGCGCTGAGCGGCCGTCCTCGGCCATCCATCTCCAAGCATAGCAGACGCCGCAACGAGCAACCTGCGGTTGGCAGCCACAATCAACAGCCGGCGCTTTTGCGCTCTCAGTTCCTACGTGTTGCAGAAGACGAAGATTTCCAAGATTACCAAGAGCAACACCAAGATCCGGAAGAACAGCAGGACGCAGCAGTGGCTGCACCGGCGACCCCGCCATTTCCACCTCCGCATCACCCTGATCCGGATTCATCGACTGAGATTATGGCAGCAATAACGCAGTTTCACAATTCGTTGCTTGAATCGAATGCCAAACTCGAGCGCCTGATACAACAGGCTACAACGGTGTTGACTACTCAACACGAGGCTACCACGGCGATCCTCGCCTCGTGCAAACAGCAGCTCGACGTACTCGAAAGCCTCATCAGGCAAAACGCGCCTGATTGGTCGTGAATATGCTGATAAGGTACGCTGGTATAAAAAGAGCCAGGTAGTGCACATTTCTCGCATTTCAACACATGTTGCTTTCAGACACACACCATAACTTTGCCTTCTGAAGTTTTGCCTCAGAGTGACACCTATCGGAATCCCGACATCGAGCCATGAGCGAAGCATCTCTTCCGACCAACACAGTGACTACAGATTCGCCACCCGTCGATGAGTCACGACGTGAAGCTCTCTCCGAGGCCCTCATGGAGATTTTGACACAGCATCGGGACTATGATTCCGAAACTGGAAGTGAACCTTCCACATTCAGTGACGAGGCTCTACGCGACCAATTAGCTGAGTTTATTCTGCAAACAACCCGGCAGATCACAGAGCTAAAGCAACGAGTGGAAAGACTCGAAGCTTCGCAACAATAGGTGATCAACCATGTTCATACCACCATCGGGTGCTTTGCAGAGGACGGTAAAAACAACGATTGTCGTTGTTGCCAATTGTGACAGTCAGTGCACTCACTTCACATATGTTTGGCATGCAGCGATTGATGCACTCTTTCCCGCAGCATTTTGCAAAACAACCAGTTGTGTTAGCACCATGGAACAACGCACCAGATCGCGATCTCCCACGGCATCACAATGGAGATGGCATTGGGCCACTAACGGCTCTTCATGGTGGCGGGAGTACTTTATCGCATCTCAAGAGTGGATACGAAAGCATGCGGAGCAACCTGATCAGCGTCCGACATCAACGCCTCCGACCCAAAAGGAGACAGTATCTACTACATCAACTCCTACATCCAACAAGAGAAAGCGGTCAAGAACTCCGTGAGCAACATTGCTGAGTTGACAATTAGATGCACATTTGCTGCCCCTGGCAGCCAACAACCACACAGCAAAGCTGTGCTGCGAACTCCATCATCCCTGATGAGGTTCAACATTAAGAGCATCATGTTGAAAGGTCATGCCGGTCGGCGAGGTTGCTCAATTGATGTCTCTGTGTACATCTCTCTCTCTCTTCTGAAGATCAGCGTATGCACATGCCTCAATGCAGTTGTGACTCCGCAGCCATTTCTCCGAACTACAGTTGTTGAAACATATTTAGGATCGCACACAGATGGACGAGGACGACGACAGCAGCCTATGGGGATCCGAAGAGATTGATGCCTTCCTGAGGAAGGATGACACCACCACATCCTCCCATGCAGTCAGTCACACACACAAGCAAAAAACAAAGCACACAACGAAGACAAAAAAGAAGAAAGACAACAAAGACAAAAAGGACAAAACAGTCATGAAAACAAAGCAAACACGTAACATCTCACCAGCATCCCAATCCACAACACAGCAACGACGTCAACATCCACATACTACAAGACGAAAGAGGACACGCTCTTCGCATTCAACATCATCAGCGTCACCTACGGCAACGTCACACATGGCTGAGGACGCACACCGATCTCCATCGCGAGATCCTTGGTCTTCTGACTCGATTGCACCTTACGATATTGTGCATCCTACTATTCAGCACAAGCGGTCCAAAACCGCTTGTGCAAAAATGCTGGTACGTGCAGGTTTTAGGTGTAGATGCCATTTCAAGATCATGAGTGACTGTCCCAACAAACTCGCTGTTGGATCCTAATACTCAGGACGGATTAGGGCTGCAAGATCCGCTAAGCGTGACAAAAAGCCTGCGCATGCGAGTGTCAGCACGACACCACTTTGTTGTTTCGCCTGAGCACACAGCATGTCCACGTTGATTTGCATTCCTTGTTCAAGCGTTTGTCGGTTGGTAGCAGCAAAAATATGACAAAGCGAAAGGCTGCTGAGGCCGGCCTTCCATGGTACTCCATGGCAGGACAATGTTTTCGGATGACTGTTGAAATTCCACCCGACCGCATCACCAGAGACAAGCACATGTTCTTACACGTGGTACTTTGTCTGGGTGACAACGTTCTACAAGCTCGCAAGATCTTCTCCTACCGCATCAAGGAGATCACCGGCAGAACTCCTAAAATCCCAGCTTTCTTCTTCGAACAAAACCGTCGACGACTACATGATTGGGATTCAGTCACCACATTAGCCACGTTGAAGCCGGTGCTTTTTGTTAGAACCTGTTCGGATCAGGAAATACGACAATCACCTGATCGCTAGTGACAGCGAGAAAAGTGCGCCATTCACTTCTTTTGCCACGCATCAGACATTTCACTCTACTTGAAGCATGTACGCCCCATTGGGGCTGTGTGTGTGTGAACCTCCCTAGCACATGGGAGCAGAGGGTCACTCCTACACTGTTCGCATTTTTTGCTTTTCAACTTAATCAGACATTGGACATTTACCAAATCAACTGTTGCAGGGGGACACAGCATGTCACTGGGACTGTGTCCAACGAAGCTACCAGTGACATGGGAGGAGAGGACTGATCATCCTCTTGTACCTGCATGGCAGCCCCCTGTGGTGCCAAGATTAGTCTGAGGACAGGCCCCCTGTGGTGTCCAGATTAGACAAACAATTTTTGTACGGTTGCCGCAATCTGAAAAACTTTTACAACATGAACAACATGCCTCTCTTTTTCCTCTTGCACTCGTACTCTTGGCCGAATCCATCAGTGTGTGTGTGTGTGTCTGTGTGCGTGTGTGTGTGTGTGGGTGTGTGTGTGTGTGTGTGTGTGTGTGCGTGTGTGTATGTGCACTTCTCTCGTTCATGAGATAAGGGGTTCACAACCAACCCACTTTGAGTGCTCCGCGAGCCAGGTCCTTCATGTGAACAGCTTTTCACATTTCGCAGGGGGGTGCGGCTGCGGCATGCCTGTCGGACCGCACTCAGCGAAGCTGCCACAGTCATGGGATACCGAGTCTGATCAACTCCGGGTACCTTCAAAACTTTTGGCAGCCCCCTGTGGTGAGGCGACTACTTACCGGACAGGCCCCCTGTGGTGTCCAGATTAGTCAACGGCCTGCAGCAGTCACAGCTTTAGGTAACTGCGGCTCACATGTCACAACAGTGCGCAAGCAATAACAGTTTATGTAAGAATCTATCCGGGTGTGCAGACACCACTTTTTCAGTGTGTGTGTGTGTGTGTTGACTTGTGTGTGGAGGACGGAGCAAGGTCTTGTAATTCGGTTTCTCGTAGTTTGTGCCTTCTGGCCTTAGGGTGATGTCGCCTGTTCTTGTCGAACCATGAATGTTCTAATGTCGCTTTTGGATCGTCGTTGATGCAAGTTGTCCTTCGTGGGTGAGCTTTTCTGCCGTTCTTTACCAGGTGGAAAATATATGAGCGCTCTTCCTGGGAAGAAGGCTAGTTATCCTTTAGAGGTGTCTGTTGTCCTCGTGACAGGATGCGTGGGAAAGCTCTTAAGTCTTTTTTTTCAGCCAGTGCAACCCAATGCCCCACCTGGGAATGCCTTGAGATGGGCCGAGGCGTGTTGGTGCCTGGTCTTCTTGGCTTTGGTGGCGGTGGAGGGAGACTGTTATGGTGATTATGCCGTCTCAGGTGCCGTCGGCTCGGGAAGGTTTTGCAACGGTGGTTATCGCTATGGGGGCCAGAAGAACGGCAGGCCCTTCTATGGAAAGACTTCGGGGCAGGGGTCTATGTTCATGAATGCTGAGCACCACTGGGTGTTGCATCCTTGGAAGCTGACAGCGACTGAGTCTGCTGACCAGTACCAGGGTCCTGCACCATCACAGCCTCCAGAGGCTGCATGGGCTGACCCCAACTGCGATTGCTCCGAGCCGGCGCCCCGTGTCTCTGCTTGCACGTCCGGCTGTGACTTTGTCGTCACTGGGGCCGGTGGGCTTGGCCAGTCCTGCAACGGCAATTACACTTACGAGGGAGAATTGAACGGCATGCCATCATACAGGCATGCCGATGGCGGCGCCTTGCTGTTTCACAGATTTTATTGGAAACTTACTACGGCAGCAGTCATGGAAGCAGCTGACTCTGAATTTGCTGTGAATTGGATCTACAATCCAGGTTTGAGTCAGGAGCTACCGACAGGACGATGGGTTATTGATGGGGACTACGAGAGGAGAAACATGGATCCTGCTCCGACTGTCACTGCGTGTCAAGGCTGTGATGTTGATTACATCGTGACTGGCGCAGGGGGGCTGGGTGCAACCTGCAATGGCAATTACAGTCTCTGTCTCGACTGCCGGTGGCCCTATGCTCAACTTGATCAGACAATTTATCGCTACAGGAAGGGTGCTGGAGAGGCTTGGATCTTTATGTCAACTGCACGCACTTGGAGAATGAGCTGCCGCAATTCGACATCCGTCTGGCATTACTCGGAGCCACTGGCACAAGCGCGGTTGCCCCCGACGGGTCAGTGGGTCGCCTCATCCAGGTGTCGTTGCTCTTACTCTGGCCTCGCTGTGTCTCAATGCAATCAATGTGACACAGCAGCGGCTTACACGGTAGCTCAGGCAGACGGTCCGCACTCCCATGCCAACGGCGAGTATTTCTCGACAATCCAGGATGGAAAGCAGGTCTACGAGAAGGCGGGGCAAGATGCTCGGATCTTCCTCTCTTCGGAGAACCGCTGGGTGCTTCGAGTTGATGATAACTCGGGTCTTGGGTACGGGCAGTACTTTGCACCGGGCCAGGAAGCACCGCCTCTGGGCAGCTGGCAGTGGCAAGGCAGCTTCGACACAGCTGCTCACCACGTGACGGTCTCCACTTGCAACCAAGGCGTTTCTCTCGTGGTGCTCCCACTGGTAGCGCTCCTGCTTGTTGCGCTCCTCCTCCACGCAGGCATGCGCATCCGAGAGATTCTACGAAGCGAAGTGAAGTGGGGAGATGTTTGAGGTGTTCGCATGCCACGAATGGTTTCACTCGCGGTACTGGCATCTGTTTGCGTCAGCTCTTTAGAAAAAGAAAATCGCTGCGCCTGTCGACCGGTCGTCTTTCATTGCCTAGGCCCACGGATTTAAGCATACAGCGTGCACTCTTGGACTCATGGCTCAAGTGCATTGCGTCGAAGGAGGGGGCAACATGGAAGTGGTCAGCAGCTTGCGTGAGTACTTTGAGGAGCAATACCTTGCCGGAGGCTTGTTCAGCCATGAAGACTACGAATTTATTGAGGATGAGTGGGTCTGGCGGCATAAACCTCTGGACATCAAGGTATGGGCTGATGCGTTAGACCTGTCGTCTGAAACTGAGCCACATGTCTATTTTCACTACACCAGCCACCTGGGCTTCCGCAACATCACTGACCCATCCAAGGCCACGGCTGAGGTCTTTGCTTCGATGGTCACACCCGAACCAGGAAATGAGGACAAGAAGGGTCTGAACGCTTACTGGGGCCAAGGTGGGTGTCTCCCAACAACAGAGATGCTTACGTAGTCACATGAAACTAGCAGACCCAAACTTGAGATCCGAGGCGTCTATGCGACCCGACGGCCACCGGACAAGTGGAAAGACGAGGATGGGCGCCCGTGCTTGCACAAGCTCCTGGATAACAATTACGGCAGTACGTACAAGAGAGATCACTACAAACGATTTCGGGCAGACTACTGCATCCCTATCCTTGCGAGTGCAGAGAGCGCCTACGACGTGTCCCAGCGCCAGACCCCGGAGATGGAGAAGGGAGGAAAACCACCTGGTGTAAATCTGGCCGGAAGGGATTTGCTGCACCGTGAGGTGATCGTCATCCGAATGCTTGGCAAAGGCGGGGGCGTGTCCAGCGCCAAGGCCAGTCTTCTTGAGGTGCTCTCTAAGCGAACGTGCGAGATGGCACACCGACTCACTGACACACCCAACCTGGAGCTTCGAGAGGAGCTTTGCAAGGCCAAGTGCAGGCAGGTTTCGAAGCCCGATGCGAATCCTCAAGATGGTGCCCAACTATCCCACACCTCAAATCCTGAAACCGAAACAGCAATCTTCAATGCAAGACTCATGGAACCTCAGAGACACGGCTCTTCAGGTTGGCGCAAGTTCATGTGCAGCGTGGACAGCTGAAAGAAGCAGAAGATCTCTTTAGTACCTGGGCTCGTCTTCGTTTTGTTCGGTTCTAAACTGCATCAAGAGGCTTGTGGGGTTTGGCAGAAGGACAGCAAACGAAGGGATTGAGGAATGCTGTGGCCCAAAGTCCAGGTCTAAGATCGCCCCTCGAGTGTTTAGGGCCGGGCTTAGGGTTCCCGCACTCAGGCGAAGTCGAGTCCACAGCTGCTTGCCTGGCAAAGGAGCGCCAGGCAGGGAGCCGGTGGGCCAAGTTTGCGACGGATCCCAGCAGCCGCATCTTCAAGAATCGGGCGCCCGACACCTTCGATGCTGTTGCTGCGTGGCAGGGCCTCGCCGAAACCTACAAGCTGACAGGTCGGCTGGCGGACGCCGAGGAGCTTAACCGCAAGGTGCTGGCCCTGCGTGCATGGAACCGGGGCGAGACTCATCGCCAAACCTTGGTGTCCAAGCTGAGCTTGACGCAGGTGCTGATGTCGCGGGGGCAGTTCAGGAAGGCCGAGCGCCTGGCCAGATCGACAGTGACAGATCTTGAAACGGAGATGGGCCCCAGGCACCCGGACACCCTGGAAGCGAGCTTGACCTTGGCGAACATCCTCAAGGAGAGCGGCTGCCTCGACGAAGCGGAGGAGCTCCAGGAGCAGGGCTGGACCACCTGTAAGGAACTCTTGGGGCCGCAGCATCCGCGCACCGTGGCTTCCTTGAGGGACTGGGCCAGCGTCCTCTTGGAGCAAGAAGATTTCAAGAGAGCCGAAGAGAAGTTCCGGGAGGCTGAGGAAGAGTTCGAGAAGAGCCTCGGGGCCATGCACCCTCAGACCTTAGACTGCAAAGTCAGTCGTGCCGTAGCCTTGTCCTCACAAAGGTCGCGCAAGGGTAGCCTGCAGATGGCTGAGCAGCTCTTCGTAGAGGCTTTGCAAGAGCTAGAGCAGCTGTTGGGTGCCTCACATCCCGAGCCTCGGCAGAAAGTCTGGTCCAAGGCTGGAGACCCGATGTAGGTTGTGATGGCCTTCATCTCTGATAGGTTCGGACTTGGAGCTTAGACACAAGCCTAGAAGCCGAAGCCCTACAGCCACCTAAACACAATGATAAGCGAAACCCACCGACCAAGGACACAACCTGGTGCTGCTTCGGCTTGGCCATGTGCCTCAGGGCCTTGCAGAGACCTCTTGAGGCCGAGCAGCGCCTACGGGACACGCTGGCGAGGCTCCGAGGGTCTCAAGGCCAGGACCACTGGAAGGCACAGCTTTGCCAGGACCGGGGGTGGGGGGCCTTAGGGGTTTTAGGGGTTTAGGGGTTCTAGTTTCGGGGTTTAGGCTGTAGGGGCTCCGGCAACTGCTAGGACAACACTGTGCATTTTGGGAGTTCGTGGAAAAAGGGGGTAGGTTTCGGGGGTTCAGGTTTTCGGGTGTAGGGTGTGGGCTTTAGGGGTTTCGAGCTTCGTGGGATTAGAGTGTAGGGTGCAGGACATGATTCGGCAGGTTGCAAGCTTCTCGGGCTGTTGGCCTCTTTTCTGGAAGTCGAGTCCGCTGCTGGTCGTGCTCCTTACGATAGTGTGGAGGGCGTTCGCGATGAATTTAGCCGGCGTGCTTGAGCTTCACCTTGCGCTTGCTGCAGGCCAGCTATTCTTGATGATCCTGGTGCTTGGTGTCGGACTTTTCTTCCTCCAGAGGAGTCGTGTCATTCCCCCTGCGGGGCCGAAGGAGAAATGGGGAATTCGCTTTCGTGATCAGCATCACGTTGCTAAAGCCTTTGCGCAAGGAGTGCACTCGTTGGCTGCATACTTCCTCTTCAGTCTAATTTTCTCCATATTTTGGTTCATCCTGGATGCTATCAGCCGGCAGGAGGAGTACGAGGACCTGAGCAACCGTTGAGCAATGATTATCAAATGCATGTAAAATGGAGTCGTTTTGAGACCTTGTTCATCTACAGACCGCATCGGAAGGACTCTGCAATCGTGGCTTGGGGCCATCCCACGGCCGTGTGTGGCTGGGCAGCTTTGGAGGTGATTTGGCTAATGTCCGACGTGGCTGACCTCCTTGACCGCCGCAGTGGATTTCAGAATTGTTGGGTATTGCTCGCAAGCCTCTTGCCGATCCGAGTCCTGCGCCCCGCGTCCCTGCACATGCACCTACATGCCACCCGGCAAATTCGCAGCTGGGACGAGATTGCTTGGCCTTGTTCTTGGCTCCTCTTCTTCCTTTGTGGCTTCCTGCTGCGTAACCTCGGTTACCATCTGCAAGCCCTCGTGCGGTCGAGGTCGGAACGTTTATGGCCGATGGATGGAAGGCGATTGCACAAGGCCCGCCGGGCAGGTATTGTCGTCCGTCAATGTATTGAGACGGTTTGGTGTCTGCTCTTCGTTGCATTCGTGGCGATTGGGGAAGATTGCCATGGCCAGTACGTTGTGTCTGGTGCTGTTGCTTCCGGGAGGTTTTGCAACGGCGACTATCACTTTGCCGGACGATACGAGGAAAGGCCCTTCTACACGAAGAGCGTGGGTGTCGGTTTCATTTACTTCTGGGGCTCATCTGGTCAATGGAGACTCTCCGACCGGCATTTGAATGAAACTCAGACTGATACGGCCAATTATGTGCCACTGGGCACTGCAACCCCACCGACCGAAGGTGATTGGGTACTCTCCGAACTCTGGGGAGGGCCATGCCTCTGCGAGGATGAGCCACCCAACATCTCCGTGTGCCACGAGCAGACTTGTGAAGGTCGCGATGAATCAGCATCAGCTCATAGTAACAAACTATATATATATATATATATATATATATATATATATCCGTGGAGGTTTAGGGGTCAAGCTGCGGTTCGGGTTGGCGTCCTCATGTGCCTGTGCCAATACTCTCATTCTTGCTAGTTACGAGCTGAAGCCGAGGCACTGAAGGGATTAACCCCCTCAACAGGCGATCTGATCGTCTCAGAAGTTGGGCTTTTGGAAAGCCAGGGCAACGGCCAGTATGCTTACACGGAGGACCACAACGCCAAGCCTTTCTATAGGCAGATTGGAGGAGACTCGGTAATCTATTTCGACGTTAGTTGGCGCATCAATACCCAATCTAACTCGACGGACCGACAAACCTTCATCGCTCCAACATCACCGCTACCACCCGTCGGGCAGTGGGTGACAGAAGGCCGGGATGTCATGATGTCTGCATAGCCCGTTGGGTGGGACAGATTGCGCCTTGTAAACCCTTGACCCTGGACTTTGAACTCCAAACGATTGAAACCTCCAAGACCTACAACCCCAAGTGTCCTGGCAGATGTTCATCGTCCAGAAGCCGATCCCCCACCATTCGTCTCTGAATGTGCTGGCTGTGACGGGGACTACATAGTCTCCGGTGCGGGCGGCGAAGGTAGCTGGTGCAATGGCGAGTACAGCTACGCCCGTCGCAATGATGGAAAGCCGCTTTTCCAGCAAATTGGAGGGGAATGCATCATCTATCATATGAACCAATGGAAGATCACCTATGAAAACCAGACTGGCAATGCTTATATGGGCAGCTGGTATTACATTGCCCCAGGCTTTCCTGAGCCTCCGCTGGGCAAGTGGGAGAACATTCCGTGCAAATTTTGTGGTCGAGATCCAGCGAGAGTTACACCATGTCATTCCGCGTCGTGCGACTATGTGGTTTCCGGGGCAGACGGCACTTTTGCCGAGTACAATGGTCAATACCGTCAAACTGGCATTCGCGTGAATGGAAAGCCCGTGTACCAGCTTCAGCAGTCTCCCTTGGACCGATACATCTTCCATTTTTGGAGTTGGAAGATCGGCTTCTACTGGGATTTGGCGATTGCTGGGGCTGTGTACGACTCACCAGCTCAGAGCCTTCCGCCAACTGGCACCTGGGGACGAGAGAGTTGGTATGAGGGACAGACCTCAGACTCAGACATCTTGCAGGTTTCACCTTGCCGCGGGAGGCCTTCGCTGGTCGTTCTGCCGGTCGTAATCGTAGCCTCGCTCGCCACTTGTTGCCTGGCTGTTCGCAAGGTCAGGCCGGGCTGCCGGAGCTCGCCCGTGCATCCGGCAGACCCGCTGGACGAGTGAACTGGTGGCTAATGTAGGAACCTGATCAAGAAACCCAGGGCCTATAACCCCAAAATAGTAGGGTTCATATAACGAACCCTAAGAGAGGCCCAAGATTTCTTAACCAGGTTCCTACATTAGTCAAGGCGGATGCGAGTATTCGCAAGAGTTGGCAATGCAGGTGACGGTATTTGATGTCTAGCGATATAGCATGACAGTAAGACTGTTGATACATGTGCGAGTATTGCAAAGTCTTATGTATCACCACAGATTGTAGCGTGACTGAAGAAGGCTGCATCGCGAAACGACAGCACTGCCTCTGCCACCAGGTGAGTGGGATTTCAAGCTTAATCCTCGAGACTTGCCTTGAGCGTGCAACCATGTGGGCGGTTATTTGGGTCCCTATTATAGTACGGCACCTAATATTTATGGTGCCCAAAAAGGAACCCTAATTTTGACAACCACCCATGTGTTGGTTGCAGTTGTTCGACGACAAGTAGCAGTTACGGCGGCAACACGAACAATCTGGGAGTCATCGTCCATCATCCGTCATCCCGTGTTGTCGCCACCATCACCGCCATGAGCACCATCATGATCATACTCACCACAACATCGTCACCAGTGGCAGCAATACTGCACTGAAGGTGTAACAATGAGCTGCCTGATGATGAGATTACGTCAACCGTCCTTTCATGAGGATAAGTGTCTCCCATGAAGTCACAATTGCATTGACCTAGTTGTTGGACCGCGAGCAGTCGTGCGCTTTGACAAGGCTTGAGACGTTCAGCTTGCTTCTGGGATTGAGGTCCACGGTTTAGGGTACAGGATATAATATACAATAACATAAGTGTACATATATATATACACATGTATGTATGTATGTATGTATGTATGTATGTATGTATGTATGTAAAATTATACAATTTAGGGTTCAGGGTCCAGAGTTCTTGCTGTGGTCCATGTCGTGGCGCCCCACGGCCAGAGGAGGCCGCAGCCCCAAACATTCAATCTGTTTGCAGCCGTTTGTGGTGCGAAACGCAATCAGCAAAGCTCAATGGGCAGTCCATTCAGTTCGCAATGTTGCGCCCAGATCATCTGTTTCTGCACGACTTGGCGAGTGCACATCATCAGGAGCATGGGCATTTGGGGCCTGAGTCCAGGGCTCAGGGTGCAGGGTCCCAGTAAAACCCACGCAGGTAAATATGACATCAGCCGAAGCACAAGTGAGACGCCATAAATCCGACATTCAACATCCCAAACCCCTAACAATGGCACCTCGGACCTAATCCAATCTGGGTACCTGTGGTGCATGTGAGTTAAGGGGAGTTTCAACGCAAGTCCGAAAGGTCGAAGCGAGCACTAGCTCGTTCTTACGAAATCTTCCTGATCCTTCACCCTAAACCCTAGGCAACCTCTTCCTGATCCTTCAAGACGAATAGCGCTCTAGCTCAAGAGCCTCCTTCCCTTCGATAGGGCGGCGGCAGTCTTGATCTGAGGGACTTTGAGCCTACAGTGGTCCAGCCGATTTTTTTGGCGGCACATTTCAGCGAGTTTACGGTTTTAGAGATTCGGGCGAAATCCCTACACCCGTTCAGTGCTGTGGTTCCCCAACTATTTCCCGAACCCGTAGTCCTTGAGTTTACGACTCCACCCCTCTCCAAAACGACCGCAACAGCGCCAACAAGCTGAATGCGTCACGTTTCTTCGTAAAGCCTACATCCTACATCCTACTTGTCGAGGAGACGTGGCAGCGAGCAACTTCACGCTTCCTCCTCCAGGCCTCGCATCCTTTGGGGTTTCGCGGGTTATGGGTGCAGGTTTGATGGGGTGTAGGGCTGGGATTTGGGGTTTAGGGTTTAAAGGTGCAGAGTTTAGATCTGAAGATTCGCGTTTGGGGGTCTAGGGTTACTTTCGAAGGCTTCGCGGGCACTGCCAGTGCTCAAGACGGATGCTGAACATGGTCTCAGCGAGGATGCCTCAAGCTCCAGATCAGCTTAACCCGAAATGCCACATCCAATCTACATACTGAGGTTCCGGGGTTTAGGGTTTAGGATCTGAGGATTCTGTTCTCTGGATTCGTGAAAAGAGCTTTGTGGGTCATGGTGTTGTCACGGCTTAGGCTCTTCGTCCATGCTGGGGTCTAGGCGGGATAGAGCATGCGAAGGTTTTTGTGAGAGTGCGAGAAGCCTGTACCAGACAATGAGTTGATAAGCAGCTTTCTTGAAGGACCAGGACGACTGAGCGAGTCGTGCTACAGGGGGGGGGGCTTGTCTTTGTGTTCATATATATATATATATAGATAGATCTCTCTCTCTCTCTCTCTGTCGCTCTCTTTCTCTCTCAAAAAAATGGTAAAACCATTTCCTCGATCTTCATAACGAAGGTTCAAGTCTCTGACCTTGAGGCCCCGTCGTGTGCTGCTGCCCCGGCCCTGGAAGCCTCAAGCAAAGTGCTCGCAAGAAGGTTTCAGGGTTTCAGGGTTCAGGGTTTAGGGTGTAGGGTTTCAATTTAGGGTTTCAGGGTTTCAGGATTTAGGGTTTAGGGTTTCGGGTTCAGGGTTTAGGGTTTAGGGTTTAGGGTTTCAATTTGAATTCCGACATGTTTTAGGATTTCAGGGTTCAGGGTTAGGGTTTAGGGTTTCACTTTGAATTCCGACATGTGCAACTGCAGATTTCGGATTTGCTTCTGGTGCAAAGCACACGCGATCGTTGAAGGAATCCTTTTAGGGTTTAGGGTTTAGCTAGACTCAGCTAGACTTTCAATCCGCGCAAATTCCTTGCCCAGCCGCCGAAAGTCTTTGCTAGAGCCAACTGGCTCCCATTAGGTAACATGTTTGCCCAAAGGAGGAGCCCACGGGGTGGTGCAATAATCTGATACTGTATGATAGTGTAGTATGCTCTTACATAGTATATTCGTTTATGATATGATATAGTACCGTAAGATACACTATACACCAGTTCCAACGCGCTAGTCTGATTGTTCAGGCGGCCCTAGAACAACCCGAGCCCACGTACCACGCGTCGGGAGATGGGGCGCACAAGCGCGTGCGCTCGACTCTCGAAAGACGGGGGCTCGACTCAGCAGCCGAGGCGTGAGATCACTTCGGGGTTCTTAAGGAAAGGAAAGAACAGGGTTTCTAAAGGGCGATGGCAAAGACTGGCCGGGCTGGCTCTGCGAAAGGGACGCTCCAGCGGAGCTGGGAGGGCCCGACGCCGCCCCAGTCGCTTCTCCAGTCTTTCGTTTCGCTAAGTTCCCCATGCGGTGCGGGGTGGTGGCATTGATGTGGATAGGAAGACATGAAGAGAAAGAAGAAGCACCACTCCGGAAAGTAGGGCGACGAATGCAACTTCTCTTCTCATCGTCGCCATCAACAACATCGATGACCATCTTCTGTCGGAGCGGGGGTGAAGATGGTGATATGATATGGACGCTCATGATAAGGGTAGTGGTGATGATTATGATAACGGTCCTGGCACTTGTGCTGTTGGGCGGTGGTGACGGCGGCAGTGATGGAATGCCAACTGTTCCGGGACCCTCGCATTGGAATCTCTGTTGATGTTACCCAAACAGCCACATGATCCACAGTCAATGAATGTGCTTCGAATCATAGTAGCCACAGCGATCTTGGGCTCTCCGGGAAGTTCCGGTAAGCTTCCACAGCCTCAGGTGTCTGCTGCTGGCAAGGCAGGGGCGATGGCCTTGACGAGCCCATGGCCACCGACGGCCTGGTCCTCGTCGAGTTGGGGGCCCTTAAGAGGTCTTTATACAAAGGATCCTTCTACTTAAAACCCGTTGTCTGGGTGGGCTTCGTAGAAAAGGATCCTACTATATTCAATCCCGAAGGATCATGCTCATTCTGAGGGTGAGGAGGGTTTTGCAGAGCCTCGGCCCTGAGCCCAGCGATCGACGAAAGCCCGGCGATCGACTGGGTTTTTTCTGCTCACGGTTTTGACCACCTGCGTCTGGGATTGGGTTGTTGAAAGCAGCTTTGAGTCTCAAGTTGAGGGTACGTTGCCCACCAACATGGGGGTTTTATCAAGACTGGTCGGGGGCGTCTTCATACCCTTCTGAACAAGGAGCTATTCAGGGTTTAACATAGGGTCTGCTGCTGCTTCTGAAACTCCAATATCAACCGACGAAGGGCATGGCTTTTGGATCAAGGTGATTCCCGAGTCTGCACCTGCGGTGTCCGCACTCTTGTATTTCAGAGGAGATAGTTGAGAAGATGGTAAAGCTTAGCAGAATCGTGCAGAACTGCGATCCGAAGCCGGAGCCAAAACCCCAAACCCCAAACGTTTCCATCTTGGCCGAGCACCGAGACCATGAACTTCAACCTTAGCAAGCAGGTTATAGCCCCGGTTGTGGTTCTCCACGGTTTAGGGTTTAGGGATAGCTTGTAACCACCAATAATAACCCCTACCTGCTACGTCCCCTGATCAGAGCTGGTCAACCTAAAACCTAAGAGAGGGTGTGAAGCCCTTACAAGCCATGTAGAGCCCCTTGTTTGACTAGGTCCGCTGATCCTTTGAGTACGCGTCGATCTTTCGCGCAGTGAACCTTGCCGAGAGAGTACACAGCATATATGGCAAGTATATGGTAGATGGTAGAGGGTATAGGGTATACTGCAAGCATGGTGTATGTTATGTAGAGAACAGCATGTTGAAAACTGTAGTTTTTCGTACAGTTTCCATATGATGTACATTGTACATACAGTAAATGTGCTATGTAGTTTAATTTAGCTAGTCTAGTCTAAGTCACGAAGGTCACGCCAAGGCTCCGAAGTCAAATTTAGCCGTACTTCCTAATGTAGGAACCTGATCAAGACACCCTGGGCCGTTATTAGGGTTCTTTGTGTGAATCCTACTACTTTTGGGTTATAGACCCAGGGTTTCTTAATCAGGTTCCTACATTACCTCTTGAGCCCCACGTCGCTCATCGAGCACAGGCCAGTTCAAGAAGACGCTATATTCCGTAGGGCTACCTTATTTTGGGGTCCTTTGATAAGGACCCTACTATTTAAG